TCTCTCTCTCTCTCTCTCTCTCTCACTCACACACACACACACACACACACACACACACACACACACTTGTTCTCTCATTTTGAATAACCCTTCCTATATATCATTACTAAAAGGGGTACTTTCCTTTGAATTCCACTAATAGACATGAAAATTACTCACCAATACCATTTCACTGAAATAACCCTGTAACTCTTCTTATTTATCATAAATTAAGCTCTTGGTTCCTGAGAAGTAAGGTCACAGCGCCAGTGTCTGCTTGGTACCTGATAAAGGCCTCCTGATTGGCCATGGCGCAGCAGAGCATCACAGGGGATCCAAAGTAAGGTGCCAGTGAGAGCAGCTGTACAACAAAGCCACTGCTGTGACAACCTATCCCTTAGCCCATCTACTCAAAAAATGGTTGTCTCTTAATTGTCCATCTCTTAGCACTTCCCAGTGAGGATTAAAATGAAATGTAACTCTTGATGGGGACATTCAAACCTCAAGAGCCTGAAATTTTTGTTTCCCATAATACATTTTTCCTCACGGGTAATTTTTCCTTTTTGTTGGCTTCTTTTATGCCAACAAATTCATGTTTTAAATTCATGTTGCTGTCCCTCTACATCTTTGTGATTCTCTTACTATTATTTTAGTTGTCACTTGAGGATACAACATGCATTCTACCTAAATGTGAGGGTTCATCCTGACTGACAACTTTGGGTTATGAATTCCTAGATTTTAAAGCATACCTTATACATAATTGGATGACGACATTTCTGACCTAATGTGTGCTTTAATTCACCAATGGATTCAATGCAGTACCTACTGGCACAGAACTCAAATTCATGACAATTCTCCTGCCTCAGCCTTCTACATTCAACTTGGTTTCAAATTTTGAATAGGCTATTGGGATGTGGAAGAACATCCTGCTTGGTTGGAGGAAGTGGGTGACTAGGGCTTTGCCCTTGGCAGTTACATCTTGTCCTGGCCTTCTTCAGATTTCTAGTGAAGTAGGAAGCTTCTCCAGGACAGGCTTCCACCACCAAGATGCTGCATCCAGTGACCATGGACCAAACCCTCTGAAACCATGAGCAATTACCATAAGTAATTCCTCCCATTAGGCTGTTCTTGGTATTTAATTGACAGCGAAACAGAAGCAACTTTCAAGCCCATGTCACCTATCAACTGAGTGCTTCTCAGCTGCAGCCCACTCCATGCTGGCTGCTGTGCAAATGAAATCAGTCTTCTTTGCCAGCTGACACAAAGCTTAAGGTAAGCAGGGGCAGAGGAGGCTACTAGGGCTCTACTAGGGATCGATAAGGAAGTGATGAGACAGGAGTAAGGGATGTTGGCTGGATGAACTGGAGAGTGTGGGAGGGTACCGTTCTCTAAACAAAACAGACAGCTGTTGTTCCCTGAGAGGAGTGGGTGGGACTGGACACTAGACCCTCACCTAGATTCCAGCCACCCCTGCCAGCTATTTCTATATAGTTCTGCCCTAATTTCACCCTGCATTTGGGTCTTGGGAGGTGCTAGCTATACAGAGGTGGAGTAGGGAAAGGGGGAGACATGGGAGACCCCATGCAGCTCTTCACTATGCTGGGTCAAGACTTTTTAGTGTGGCTGCTTTGGGGTCTCTTGTGACAGTGAAAGAAGATCCTTGTTCTGTAAGTAAAGACTCATTGGTTCCTGATGCTGGAGTTTTCTTTCCAGTCTGGTCTCGCTGCCACCTCAGCCTCAAATAAACACACAGAGAGACATATATTAATTTATAAACTGCAGGCTAGGGCTTCTTATTGGCTAGCTCTGTCTTAATTATTAACCCATTTCTGTACTCCCAATTATTAGCCCATTTCTATAAGTCTATGTATTTCCACGTGGTCTTGGCTTATCAGAGAATGCCTGGACCTGTTACTCCTTTGGTGACTACATGGTGTCCCCTTGCTGTGCCTCTCTGCCTACCTTTCCCAGAATTCTCTTCATCTCCTAGTCCTGCCTATCTTCCTTCCTCTATTGGCCAAACAGTGATTTTCTTCATCAACCAATAAGAGAAACATATATACAGAAGGACATGCCCCATCAGGTTCTTTTGGTGAATGTTGGTGGAATGCTACTTTGGTTTGTCGTTAGGGCATTATAAGGAGGGGTCACCTTTGTTTGTCTCCAGAGAGAAGGAAGTCTCACACCAGAGGGCTTAGGAATGTCAGGAAGAGAGCCAAAATGACCTTGAAGGTATCGTCTCTAAGAGTTCATAGAAAGGCAAGTCCTTTTTATTCCAAGTTACAGATCTTAGTCTAGTGAGATGACTCCTAGAACTTCAGCACTTGCAAGATTGAAGTGGGTTTGGCGAGTTTGAGATCAGCCTGGGCTACAGAGTGAAAAAACAAATTTCTATTTTTAAAATAATCTTTTATTTGCCCATCATATACATTTGAACATTTATTTTGATGAACAGTATATTATCTTAGCAGTAACTGAATAATTTATTATACAGCATAAATCACCAAGTCCAATTCCTGACTTCGAAGAATTTTTTCTAGTGTGATATAAACAAGAACAATTTACCATTTGTGTGGTTGATTTTCATGAGAAGGAAACAGTCTCCATTGTCAAGGTCACATTCAAGAGGTAGGTGACAGTCAGAAAGTGAACTTGATTGTCCCATCAGTAGGTGAAGGAGTATTAGAAAAAGAATATGCAAAGTAGAGCCTTGGGTATCAATTACTGTTTCTTATAAATCAATTAATCTTAATAATCATAAATTAAATAGTCAAAATTAAATACTCAGAATTTTAAATCAAAAATAGACAGAAAAGACCCACAGGCAATTTAGTTGCCTATTTTAACATTGAAACAATATTTTCTAAAGTTTTAAAAGGAATCTTTTTTGTGGGTTTTTGCTGTTGTTAATTTGAAGACATAGATTCTTATTTTCTATTGAGTTTTAAAGCAATTTCTTTGTAAGATTATTAATAAACGTTGTATCATCCCTCAGTCAAAGATCTATCTAACTATTAGAGCTCCCAGGCTCCATTAACTGACAGATTTCATAACAGAGTCAGTCATTTTGGTTCCAACGAGATGGGACCTCTTAGGGCAGCTCCTAGGCCTGTGTCTGGTAAATAGATGATGCCCAAAACTTTCTCTGAAAACAGTCTCCATGATGCTGTCTGAGGGATTAATCTGTCAAAGAACAAAATAGCTGTTTTTCATTCTTCTTAAACTCCAGCAGCCTTTCCTTCTGCCCATTTCCTTCTAGTCTCCCATCCTTTGCTCCAGTTTCCTCCTAGCCTACCGTCCCTTGTCTTGCCCCCTTCCTTTTTGCTGTTGAAGTCTTGTAGCTTTTCTTCTTCCTGTTCCTTCTATGCTTGGACAAACATTTCCTTTTGTTTAGCTTTATTTTCCATTCAGGATTCCTTCTTGTTAGTTTTTCTTGGTTCTTCTTGCACAGGAGTCGTGGGTAGGAAAAGTGTGGAGTCGTGGGTAGGAAGAGTGTGGAATCTACTGGGGATGTATAGGGTCTCATGCACTCTAAGCACGTGCTATACTACCAAGCCACACCTCCAGCCTCAATAAAATAGTCAGTCTATGCAGTGATCCACAAATGGCAGATAAGTGAGCACCTCTCAAATGTAGTGTCTGTCCATCACTGATATAAATATGTCTTTTTTTGGTATAAGCTGCCTTGTTCAAGATATAAGAGCAAATACTTGAATTTTGTGCATTTCCTTTTTAGTGTGGCTGCTTTGGTTTCTTTTGTGACAGTGAAAGAAGATCCTTGTTCTGTAAGTAAAGACTCATTGGTTCCTGATGCTGGAGTTTTCTTTCCAGTCTGGTCTCGCTGCCACCTCAGCCTCAAATAAACACACAGAGAGACATATATTAATTTATAAACTGCAGGCTAGGGCTTCTTATTGGCTAGCTCTGTCTTAATTATTAACCCATTTCTGTACTCCCAATTATTAGCCCATTTCTATAAGTCTATGTATTTCCACGTGGTCTTGGCTTATCAGAGAATGCCTGGACCTGTTACTCCTTTGGTGACTACATGGTGTCCCCTTGCTGTGCCTCTCTGCCTACCTTTCCCAGAATTCTCTTCATCTCCTAGTCCTGCCTATCTTCCTTCCTCTATTGGCCAAACAGTGATTTTCTTCATCAACCAATAAGAGAAACATATATACAGAAGGACATGCCCCATCAGGTTCTTTTGGTGAATGTTGGTGGAATGCTACTTTGGTTTGTCGTTAGGGCATTATAAGGAGGGGTCACCTTTGTTTGTCTCCAGAGAGAAGGAAGTCTCACACCAGAGGGCTTAGGAATGTCAGGAAGAGAGCCAAAATGACCTTGAAGGTATCGTCTCTAAGAGTTCATAGAAAGGCAAGTCCTTTTTATTCCAAGTTACAGATCTTAGTCTAGTGAGATGACTCCTAGAACTTCAGCACTTGCAAGATTGAAGTGGGTTTGGCGAGTTTGAGATCAGCCTGGGCTACAGAGTGAAAAAACAAATTTCTATTTTTAAAATAATCTTTTATTTGCCCATCATATACATTTGAACATTTATTTTGATGAACAGTATATTATCTTAGCAGTAACTGAATAATTTATTATACAGCATAAATCACCAAGTCCAATTCCTGACTTCGAAGAATTTTTTCTAGTGTGATATAAACAAGAACAATTTACCATTTGTGTGGTTGATTTTCATGAGAAGGAAACAGTCTCCATTGTCAAGGTCACATTCAAGAGGTAGGTGACAGTCAGAAAGTGAACTTGATTGTCCCATCAGTAGGTGAAGGAGTATTAGAAAAAGAATATGCAAAGTAGAGCCTTGGGTATCAATTACTGTTTCTTATAAATCAATTAATCTTAATAATCATAAATTAAATAGTCAAAATTAAATACTCAGAATTTTAAATCAAAAATAGACAGAAAAGACCCACAGGCAATTTAGTTGCCTATTTTAACATTGAAACAATATTTTCTAAAGTTTTAAAAGGAATCTTTTTTGTGGGTTTTTGCTGTTGTTAATTTGAAGACATAGATTCTTATTTTCTATTGAGTTTTAAAGCAATTTCTTTGTAAGATTATTAATAAACGTTGTATCATCCCTCAGTCAAAGATCTATCTAACTATTAGAGCTCCCAGGCTCCATTAACTGACAGATTTCATAACAGAGTCAGTCATTTTGGTTCCAACGAGATGGGACCTCTTAGGGCAGCTCCTAGGCCTGTGTCTGGTAAATAGATGATGCCCAAAACTTTCTCTGAAAACAGTCTCCATGATGCTGTCTGAGGGATTAATCTGTCAAAGAACAAAATAGCTGTTTTTCATTCTTCTTAAACTCCAGCAGCCTTTCCTTCTGCCCATTTCCTTCTAGTCTCCCATCCTTTGCTCCAGTTTCCTCCTAGCCTACCGTCCCTTGTCTTGCCCCCTTCCTTTTTGCTGTTGAAGTCTTGTAGCTTTTCTTCTTCCTGTTCCTTCTATGCTTGGACAAACATTTCCTTTTGTTTAGCTTTATTTTCCATTCAGGATTCCTTCTTGTTAGTTTTTCTTGGTTCTTCTTGCACAGGAGTCGTGGGTAGGAAAAGTGTGGAGTCGTGGGTAGGAAGAGTGTGGAATCTACTGGGGATGTATAGGGTCTCATGCACTCTAAGCACGTGCTATACTACCAAGCCACACCTCCAGCCTCAATAAAATAGTCAGTCTATGCAGTGATCCACAAATGGCAGATAAGTGAGCACCTCTCAAATGTAGTGTCTGTCCATCACTGATATAAATATGTCTTTTTTTGGTATAAGCTGCCTTGTTCAAGATATAAGAGCAAATACTTGAATTTTGTGCATTTCTTGCCATTTCTCAATAAAAGATACTACCAATGAATAACAGTAGTTGTGGGTGTGTCTATGAGAGTGTTTCCAGAAAGGTTCAACTGAGCGTGGAAGACCCGTCTTGAAAGTGGGGAACATCATCCTATGGGCTGGGGTCCTAAATTGAATAAAAGGAGAAAGTGAGCAAATCATAAGCATTCCCCCACTCTCTCCTTCCTGGCTGTGACCATAATGTGACCAGCCAGCCACTGCTTCTACTGCCATGATGTCCCTACCACGACTTTCTGTTCCCCCTCAAACTGTGAGCGGAAATAAACCCATCTTTCACTTGCTTTTGTCAATGACTTTCTCACAGCTATGAGAAAAATAGCAATACATTGTATATGTCTCATTATAATAGCTTTCCATTTCCTCCCTGCATTGTGGTAACACTGTTATTCTTCAGCCCAAGCTATGCTGTTGCTTTAAGGTAAAGGTAGATTCTAAGCCTGGAATGCTGTGGACTGCAGTGAGGCTGTTTCCAACTTCCTGTGACTTACCCAGCATCTCCCGGGAGTCACATGGCTCTCCTGAGCAGTGCATGAAGTTGACTATGAAGATTACTATTGATTGTCCACTTACCATGTGCCTGTTGCTTTTCCCGTTACGCCTTACACTGTGGCACCCCTGTGCTGTGCATGCTATTACCATATCACTTTGCAGATGAAACCTGTGTGCTATATATGCCTATGGCCATATAGCACACAACAAGTATGAGGTACTGACAGCTATACTTTATTGCTTCCTTGATGTACTGGTTGTTTTGTTTTTGTTTTGTTTTGTTTTGTTTTTGCCAACTTGACACAAACGTAGACATATCTGGAAAGAAGAAATCTCATCAAATTGTCCTGTGGACATGTCCATAGGACATTTTCTTGACTAATGATTGATGTGGAAGGTCTCAACCCACTTTGGGAGATGCCACTTCTAGGGAGTGGTCCTGTGGTGTATGCGAAAGCAGGCTGAGCAAGCCATGGAGAGCAAGCCAGTAAGCAGTGTCCCTCCATAGCTTCCTTTTCAGTTCCTGCCTCAACTTCCTTTCATGAAGGAAAGGACTATAAGCTGTAAGATGATACAAACCCTTTCCTCCCAAGTTGCTTTTGGTCATAGAGTTTATCACAGCAGTGAAAAGCAAACTTGGATCCCTGATGAGCCTACTTTCAATGCACTCAAAGGCTTGTTTTGCACTGCCTGGGTCTTTGCTCCACCTCATCCAGCCACTTATCTGCACCTTGAGCTTGTCTTTCAGAACTGCTCCATCTCTTGGGCCTTCGGGCTGTCTACTGGCCTTTCAAGCCTCCCACTTTCACTGCTGTGGAGCTGATCCCTCCTGACTGCCTGCATTGCCCCTTCCACCACACTGGGAGGCCACACCATTGCTCACACTCACTTTGCCTTCTTCCACCTTTTAACTTCACCCATCCTTTCTGACTAGAATATTCTTCCTGCCATCCTGCCCCTCTTTTAGAACCTATTCAAAAGCCTGGCTTAGTGTTTTACTTCCACCCAGAGCCTGAGTGTGCTAAGCGAGCACTCCAGAGTTGAGCCTCACCAGCCCCTGGTTCTTTGACACAGAGTATAACTTCTTACGGGTTCTTCTGCATCCGCTCTCCCAGTCTCCCAGCCCTTGGCCCTGTGCTCCTCCTGCTCATCTCAAAGCAATCTTTCTCGGCTCAGCATTCCCAGCACTCACAGTGTAGTGTTCAGATTTTCTGTGCCTCCCCTGCTTAGACTCACAACTGAGAAGACCCAGTCCAATGCCATGTGTGAAACTACACATGAAACAAAATGTCACATAAAGGATGTTCTGATTTGATTCTTACAATGGAATCTTTTTTTTTTTTTTTAGATCTATTTATTATGTATACAATGTTCAGCCCGCATGTATGCCTGACACCAGAAGAGGGCACCAGATCTTATTATACATAGTTGCGAGCAACCATGTGGTTCCTAGGAATTGAACTCAAGACCTCTGGAAGAGCAGCCAGTGCTCTTAACCTCTGAGCCATCTCTCTAGCTCACTGACACCTATGTTAAGAGGCAAGCTACACTGATTGTATGAGACAAAAAGAAACGTGTTCTTTTCCTCCTTGCGTGTACATCACCTGCAAAACTATGGGGGGGGGGGCGGGTTGCTGTGCTGCATAGCCCTGGGGCTATTATACAGTGCTGTCTATTTTTATATGTATGTGCTTGAATGTGTGTGTGTATGTGCCAGAGGTCTTCGTCAAGAGACATCACCTTGTTTTGAGACTGGGTGGTTCATTGGCTGAAGCCCACTAATTAAGTTAGACTGGCTGGCCAGTTAGTCCTAAAGTTCTGACTGTCTTCATCTCTCCAGCATTGGAATTACAAGAGGCTCCACCAAGCCTGACTTTTTATATGGGTGCTGGGGATTTACTTGGTTCTTGGACCTGTGTGACATTTTACCAACTGAGTCATCTTTCCAGCCCTGACACTGTGTACTTTTAAGAAACAAAATATGTACTGGGAGGGCAACTATTAACACACATAATAACTATGAAGGGGTAGCTGCTGGTGGAATAAATAAATGTAAGTGCAGGAGTCAAGAAAATGGCCATTTCCGTAGCATGTGGTCCTTTAGGTCACATGTAGATGGCAACAAGCTTTGTAACACAGCTAAGGAGACCTGGTTTTGGAAAGGGCAAATCTGACTCCTGCTACAAAAGCTGATGTCAGGCTCCATCTTGCCCATTGCTTTAGCAATTGTCTTGCCCAGTTTTATTGCTGTTTCTCCTTTTGTGCTCAGGATTTCTCTGGGAAACAGTGTCTATTTTCTGCAGCAGACTGCCATCTCCACCCTTCCAAGGAGCCTGTGGACTTTGAGGCAGTCTCTTACTAGTTGTCTTACGTACTTATTTTCCACCTCAGCGTTTTAATGTAATCTTTCTTTTGTATGTCAGGGTTCCTGGAATTTAGGTGAAAAAGTGAACACCATAGGATACATGATTAGATGTCTAGCAGCCCCACAAGGTGCTTACCTGGGACATGCCAGGGCCTGTCTAACTACAGTGCATCAGGAATGACTTCCAGTTGGGTGGTGTTAGTGGGAGTTTTATCTGAAAATGATTCCAAAACCTGCAAGAAACAAAGCAGAGAGAGAGAGAGACAAACTTCAAACGACGATGCCTCTTGGTTGGCCAGGATTTCTTTGATGCCAGGTCTCAGTGTTGCTCTGCTGTCTCAGTTGCTGGTGCATCTGCGAGTTCTCAGAGTCCCTTAAAACATGATGGCCTTCTGTCTTCCTATGAAAGCCTCACTTAAAGGAATTCTCATTAATGAAAGTTACATTCATACAAGATACACAAAAGCATCAGGATGATAATTAGAAAATATGACCACATCCTCTTGGATGTAGGAAGGTGAACTACTTCTTGAAGAATGGTCTGGCTGGCTGGTAAACCAGACTCACTAACGGCACACCCAAGAGCTCACCCTAAGGAAACCACAGAGAACACGCCAGGAGATGCAGACATGATTCATCCAACCGCTGTTTTAAATAGTTAAAAGCTAGAAAGGGCTCAATGGCTAAAGACTGCTTAAAGACGTCTGAATACTGGTGAATGGTACCAGGCAGGCAGGCAGGCAGGCAGGCAGGCATTAAAATGACTGTGTGAGAAAATGCATAGTGATGTGGGAAGCAATAGATGGCCACGCAGGTGCAAGAATGAGGCCAGCATTTCCACATTGGAAAAAATTGGCAGTGTGCTTGGAAACACAGAAAGAATGATTAACTAGATACCAAGTACAAATTGTTCCATCTGAGTGAGGAGTATTTCTTGTATTAATTTTTTTTATATTTTAAACCAATGTTTTTTTCAAAATTTCAACAGCAAATATATATTATTTTATGATAGAAATATTTAACAGACCCTGTTTTAAGAGCAACAGTTAAATTGCCTGTGACTGCTTCTCAAAACTCATCAGGGCATCCTTTTACACTCATGACCTTTGTTCCTAAAACACACTATAAGCCAGACGGGGCCAAGGGTCATGCCTGTAATCCTAGCACTTGAAAGGTAGAGAGACAAGAGGATCATCAATTCAAGGACGTTATCAGCTATGTAGTGAGTTTGAATCCAGCCTAGGCTATGTGAGATTCTGTCTCAATTCCTACAAAATAAAACCAACAACAATAAAACCAGCTAACGATATGACAAGACAGCGTCAAAATCCATTTCTGAGATGAATCCAAGATGAATTATATTTATATAGAAGTGATATTTCCCAGAAGTTGCCACATTCTCTCTTTCTCCCCCAGAATAACAAGTCCGGTGTCGACACAGAAGGCACTTTGGCAACTGGTTTTGCTCAAGAGCACTGACCTCTCGCTTGGGCCTCAAGGTGACTAAAGCAGGGTATGAGGCTGGCACCCCTGCCTCCACTCGGTGTCTGTCTCCTTCACTGCAGCTCAGACTCCAGCTTGGCTTTGCACAGGCATGTTAATGGCCAAGGGGTGTGCATCTACCTAACCAGCTCACCCTGCTCCAAGTCTGAAGACACAAAGATAACTCACCATCCTGAACTGTGGTCACCTTAGCTTCCAGAAAGAGCAAAGCCCCTCAGAACACATCTCCATACCTTACCATGAAGGTAACAGTCCATTTAGGAGGTGAGGCTGTCCCTGGAACACAAGTGACTCTCTTGAAGGAACTGGTTCATTCCCTGAGGTGATGGCAGTAATAAGGACTTCTGCCAACCATGCCACAGTACAGAACTAGAGCCGAGGTAAGGGCCCAGTCAGACCACAGCGTGGCCCGGACTGCCTGACAATGCACACGTCCACCCTACTAATTCTCCCCCTATTTAAAGCTAAAACTTCTGACAGTACCCTGAAGATGGATTCGAGCGCCTGTCCCCTTCATCTGCTTATCTTTATGCAGTCACACTGGGTGTGCTATGACCTCACACGCACACCATGCACACTAGCTGTTTAGGCATGTGCTCACAGAGGACAGTCTGACTCCTTTGCTGTTAATGAGCATACTGAGACAGCGGATTGGGGGTGCAAAGGCGGAAGGGGTGTGGGGCATCCTGGGCTTTTGTTCTGTAGCACTAGTTACATGAACTCTGGTGAAAATGAACAAAACTCAGATATTTCAACTGTCAGAGAAGGAAGCAGAAAAACCACCTCTGGGTTGCCGTTGTTCTAGATGAAGTTTCAGAATGTCTATTCAGGTGGCACTGAAATACTGTGGTAACATCCCACCAACAATGTGTGACATGTTACTAAAGACAAATAAGTGTACAGAAATAGACCAGGAAGACACAAGCCCTTTTATCAAGAGTGACCCAGAGAGAGGGTAGAGGGAAGGGCAGGAAATGGGTTTCTAAGAAAGGACTGGTAATACCATAACGGCTGTAACAGACACATACTTCTACATTCTACACATACTTCTTTAAATTTTAAAATACGGTTTTAAGACGTTAAGGGGGGAGGGGGCTGAATGAGGTGGCTCAACGTGTGGGAAGCTGAGCCAGGAATATCATGGCAAGTTTGGGGACAGCTTAGGTTGTGCAGTGAGTAGTAGGCTGATCTGGGCTCCAGAGTGAGGACCTATCTCAACCAACCAAACAAAGAAAACCAAAATTATAAAGAAAATAAGTAAAAAAAAAATAAATTTAATGACTATAATTACAACCCACCAGCTAGAGAACTTTATTTAGACACTCTAATTTTTAAGTTCTGTTCTAATTAGTTTATTTCGTGTGTCTCTCTGTGTGTGAATGCATTGCTTGTGTGCATGGTGCTCGTGTGGAGGTCAGAGAACAATTGGTCGTCATCTCTCTCCTTCCACTGTGTGGGTGTCCCTGGGATTGAACTCAGGTCAGCAGGCTTAGCAAAAGGAACATTTACCACTGAACCATCACTGCCTCCCAGGCATTTTAAATAATAGGAACTTTAAAAATGAAATGTCTGCATCTTGTCAGAGGATCAGTGGTGATAATAAGACTACTTTTCTCTTTACTGATCCTGTGCATGTAAAGGCAGAAAATTGCTCTTTCTGAGATTCCAGATATGACCTTAAATACATATGCAGTTTAGAAGTATAAGCAAACATAAGCACAGTGGGCCATTCCTGTAAACTACCCAGTCCACAAAACGCTGAGCTCAAGTTTCTTGTTACAGCGCAGGCACGATGGTGCATTCCTGTAATGCCAGTCTATGGCGGAGGGTGAAGTAGAGAAGGTCACAAGTTCAGCCTGGGTTACAGAATGACACCTTGTCTTGAAAACACAGGGGGAAAGGATGGAGCCTCTCTTATCTGTGCTAACCAGGAACACTGCAAACCACTGACTCCACTTCCCTCTACTCCTGCCCCTCCCCACTCCTCACTGCCATGCCGCATGCCCTTCCCCTGCCATGGCCCCCATGCCCTCATGCTTCCCAACCCCCATGGCTCCAGGGCATCAAAGCATTGGCAGGCTTACAGATGATGGTATATGTCAGGGTCCCGCTGCAACCGGGTCTGGAAGCCAATGTACAGGTCATCCCACAGCAGACCGTGCTTCACCACGTACCTGACGACATCCACACGGCTACGGATCTGAAATGGTAACACAGAAGCTCTCAGGATGGCCCTGGTGCATGCCAGTCTATCCCCTCATGTCCTTAGGAGAAGTAGCTGCCAGTGTTGACAGAGGGGAGTGAAGGGGAAAAGCCTGGATGTGATCACAGGCTGACAACAAAAGGAGGGAGCAGGGAGCAGGGAGCACAGGCATGGAGGGAGGAAGGCTGGGTCACACAGATCAGAAGGTGGGAGCACAGGCATGGAGGGAGGAAGGCAGAGCACACAGATCAGAATGAGTGCTAGCTGGAATCCAGGGCCCAGCTTTGTGGTGAATAACTGTTGCCTCACTTCCCTCATCTGTAAAATGAAGGTTAAAAGGTGACTTCCCTGTAGGATTGTGGTGGGAAAGAAATGAGTCTGTGAACACAAAGCACTTAAAACGAGGTGGCTCTACAGTAAGTACTCAATAAATGATACTGTGACCACCATTCCCCAAAGAGTACAGGTGCCTCCACCTGAAACTCAGAGGCTGGCCAGTGTGGGGATGTTTTGTTTATGATCTAACAAATAAAGCTCGCCTGAAGATCAGAGTGCAAAGCTAGACACCTTAGTTAGCCACAGAGGTCAGGCAGTGGAGCTACACACCTTTAATCCCAGCACTCAGGAGACAGAGGCAGACAGATCTCTGTTAGTTCAAGGCCACCCTGAACTACACAAAATTGATCCCATCTAAAAGAGAAACAGAGTTCACACAAAGGTGATCTCAGCACTTGGGATCCCACGCCTTTAATCCCAGCACTAGAGAGGACTGTGAAGCCGGAGGAGACAGGAGCTCAGGGAGTCTGAGGTTTGGGGGAGGTAGATGCAGACTGGAGATGTAGGGCAGGGTGCCCCTTTGGTCTGAGCATTGGTAGAGAACTCATGCTACAGGCCAGAGCCTCAGAGCTCATGACAGCATGTGTGTGTCCAGGCACCAATGAGCAGAGCTGCCTTAAATCAGGTGTTGAAGTTCTTAAGGAATCCCTACCACAGATACTGGAGTTGGTGGACAGTAAGACACAGGGCTAGAGGCAAGCTAAAATGGCTTTGACCTCAGTCCTGTGTTGACTGGCTCTGTGATCTGACGTTTGCTAGGCATCCCCACGCACCCCCCCCCCCCCCCGTGTGTGTGTGTGTGTGTGTGTGTGTGTGTGTGTGTGTGCCCCTCCCTCTCTTTCTTTTACTTGCCAGGGCCTCACTTTGTAGGTCAGGACTGTTTCAAATTCATCATCCCCTTGCTTTAGTCTGACTGCAGCTAGGATTTATAGTTGTGTGCCACCAGGATGTTCTCTATTGCACAGGATTGGTGATGGGAGTTGGAGGCAAAAGAAGGGGTTTATTTAAACATGAAGTGCATGAGGTTGGCATGATTTTAAGCCCTGCTTCTTAAACTGTAAGTCATGACTCCTTTGGCAGGAAGGTCTACATAACTGGATGTAGGTGTTGTGAAAAACTTAGCAACACTAAAATGTTTCTGAGTGTGCAATGAACAAAACTTCAAAATAAAATATAACCAATCTGAGGTATTTCTATCTGCACTTGCCTGAGCTCTGCTAAGTGACTTCATTGTAGCCTTGGTTCTGAACACATTGCATGTGAACCTTGCATGAAGCATGCTACCACCACCACACAAAACCCAAAAGCACTTCTGTTCAGATTGGAGACTAAGGTGTATTTTGGCTTCGATGGCCTTGGCATTGCAACATAGAATGGGACAAACAATGACATCTGGTCATAATATTTGAAAAATGTTTGCAACTCTGCTTGGTACACAACAACCAAAATCTGAAGCAGAAGGACAGCTTGAGCTCAAGGTTTTGAGATAAACATGAATAAGTATGGGAATAAGGAAAGGGTGTTCACAAGGTTACATGTGAAAACTTTTAAGATCCATTAATCAGATAGTATAAGTTATGCCGAAGTTTTAACACAACATAAAATTCAACTCAGTTTATTAACATATAGCTCACTAAAAGGCAGGTGTGTTAGCACATGCCTTTAATCCCAGAACTGGGGAGGAAGAGGCAGGCAGATCTCTGTTTGAGGTCATCCTGATCTATGTAGAGAGTTCCCAGACAATATAATACAGTGAGATCCTATGTCAAAGAGAAACAGAGAGGCCTAGACAGAGAGAGAGACAGAGACAGATAGAGCAGAGAGACAGGCAGAGAGACAGAGAGACAGAGACAGGTGGGGATGTGGAGGGGGAGCAGGACAGAGCGACAGAGAGGTGTCACTAACGAAGCAGCCATCATGTCTAGGACATGGAGGTCTTGTTTCCCCTCTCCAGTTAGGCACTTACACACTTCAGTGGCACCAGCAATAATCTCAAGGGCAGGAAGAAGCCCTGGAACTACGGTTAGTGATGTGTAATCCGTGGAGTGCAAGTTGCAATGCATGATCTCATGTATCATCTCCTATGCCCACCCCAGCAGGCTGGTAGGCTGGGGATAAGTCCTACGCAAGGAAAGAGATCAAGGCACAGACAGCTCAAACAAATTGCTCAAGGTTTCATGGTGAACAGTTGTGTTCAACAGTGATGGAGACCAGTTTAATCTTGACCTGTCCCCAAAGTCAAGGATCTTCCCTGACATCATGTGGCCACTCCAAGGGACTCTCTGGTAACTGGAGCCCAGTAAAGCATGTCATGTCCACATCGACTCAACTCCCTTCCCAGAGACACTCACTGAGTTCCCTGAGAGACTGAGATGAACCTCTGCTGTAGACTACTAAAACTTCCCCAGGAATCCAGTGCCAAGGAAGGGGAAGGCCGAAACCTTGGTGCCCTGGAGAAATTTGCCTTGTGCAGACTCCTTACAGTTCTGACAACTGAGATGAACATGCATGCATTCCTTGATCTCATGGTCTATATACTAAAACTGTAATACTGCTAAGAAAAGGCCAGATTGGCTCATTCTCTTTCAATTTGTTCTCTAATTCCTTTTAAGGTGCTAGGGGTTAAATGAATCTAGGTCAATGGGCAACAACTTTGGAGAAGCCAACCAGGAAGCAAACTGTGTCTCACTGACCTCCTGGCAAAAGGGAAGTGGCTTCCCAGCAGAGAGCTTGACTCATTCTCTGACCTTTGAGTACCAGTTGCCCGTGAACACATATTGATGCACTGGTAGAGGAGGAGAAGAGTTTTTGGATTCTGGCCTTGCTTGTCAAGAACATTCTATTTGTTGGGTTTTATTGTTGGTGGTATTCATTGGGCACTTTTGGGGTTTGGTTCATGTCTGTGTGTGTGTGTGTGTGTGTGTGTGTGTGTGTGTGTGTGTGTTCTTGTCATTGATTTGTAAAAAAGAAACATTTCAAAGAATGTACTTTGAAGGCTCTGTTGAGTCATTTGCATTAGTTGTATGGTTATGGAGCAGGAAGGCTGGAACTATTTGACAGTGCTCAGTCTGTTTGCTATTTTGTGTGTGTGCAGCCTGGTTTGACAGTTACCTTTAGATCTTGGCTTACTCCTTAGCTCCATATTCAAAGTGTGTAAACCATTTAGGTTCATTTTGAGTCCCTAGTGCTGTGCCACATGATGGGATAAATTATGTCTGCCAACTAAGGCTTAAGTAGCTACTAAAGTGAACCTTTGCTGTGGAATAAAGATCAAGATTCCTAGAAATGCATCTGCTTTCATTGGAACTTAAGCATGCTTTGCAGGAGATCTCTGGTATAACTGAGGCCTGAGAAATGGCCATTCATCATTATTTTGGAGGCCCACTAGCAAGAATTCCTGCTGACTAGTCCTTTGGGGCTTTCACAGTACATTCTGGATTAATAGAACCTTTAATCTGTCATTTTGTATATTAGTCTGTATTTTTGACAATTGACTTGGAGGGGACACTGAAAATGTCATGCTGTAGCAAAGGTCTCATTACAGATTATCTATCTGAGGTTCCGCTGGACACTGAAAAGACCCTGAAGTACCCAGGAAAAAAAGCCACCTCAGTATAAGAGCTGTGAAAGGTTGATTGGCTGAATAAAACTCCACGATGATGGAGAGATGTGAACCACAGTCAAAGTGACCTTGGGCTGTCTTCAGCTCCTTTAATAGCCACTGTTCCCCACCTTTCTGCCTGAGTCAACATTCTTCTGCCTATCAGATAAAACTTTTGAAAGGCATTAACTTAGCAGACAACGGATTTCCATCAACCCAAAAGCTGAGAATGTTATCCCATAGTCCCTGAAGTCTATAGCAGAGCACGTTTTGCTGTGACTTGCCTGCCTGATGCTCCGTTTGGAAAATGCTTTGAGTTCAGACTTTATTCTAAAATTAAAAACTTCATAAATGTCATTTGGAACAATCAGTATTCGTGTTCCCGGGCCATGGTCACTCATATTTGGCTCCAGGATAAATCATGCCTTACTTGTTTTGAGCTGTGTTTCTGAGTCAACAGAAGAAGTGATGGGAAGGGAGAAGGGAAGCAACAAGTGATAAAGACAGGAGAAAGAAGGGAGAAGAAGGAGAGGGGGAAGGTTCCAAGGAAGAGGAAGACAAAGGAAGAGGAGGGTTCCCCACCAGGGGAGCTGCTCACTTCTTCATAGGGATGCTCCCTGCTTGGTCTTTCTTTTGGAAAAGACAAATCTAGAAAGTCCACCAGATAGTCATACCCTCCAGGAAAAGGGTTGAAGTCTTCATCTGTTTCAATCATCTGTACAAATAACAAAGGGGTAAACAGAAGAGAATTCATCAGATGGCAAGGTCTTTAAGAAATTCTAAAAATGTGGAAGTCTTAAACACTCTCCCTCTTTACTTCCCCTTTCTCTATTTTAGTCTCCCCCTTGAACTCATAGTGTTTCACTCCTCATCTTTTACATCAGCAAAACCACTGCTTCTCACTACTCTAACTCCAGTGGCATAGACCATTATCAACAACAAGATGTCAAGTAGCACCAGAAGCTTTCAGATGGGGACCATACAATGGTCTATGCCTCATACAATTCAGCAACTAAAAAAAAAAAAAAAATACATTCATTGGGCTATCGAGGTAGCACAGCAGGGAAAAGGTGCCTGCCATCAAGGCTGATCACATGACTTGAGTCCTGCATCCTAGACAGCTCCTTGGACAAACCCAGGCATTTAATGTAACCCTGACCACTGGCTCACCCCAGGCCTCTTCTCCCTCTTGCATCCCCTATTTGCTACGTTTGATTTTTGTAATCCCAGGAACTGAAGTCAGGGTCTCCAGGGTCTCCTGCTCTGTTGTGGGCACACCTCCAGTGGTGGTGGTTAGCAGCTTCTGGTTTGTTGCTCTGTGTATGTGTGCTGGGGCGTGTTCCTGTTCAGCATTACACTTGCCCCTGCTTTGTGTCATTTGGTCCCCAGCACGGTTACCATTAGCTGCTTCTGTCTCACACTGATTGAGGTCAAAACCCATCTGGGTGGACTCCACCTTCTAGCCTCACAGTTAAGCATTCCAGACATGCCAGACAATGTAAAATACAACCTCAAGGGAGTGGGGTGGAGAGGGTAACAAAGCATACCCGAAGGGGCCCACCAGGGCAGAAGGGTACAGAGGACAGGGTTCCAGGAGATGGAGGACTCCCAAGCAAATCAATGCTACGAGACACTTACTACTTTCTATATGGCGATTTAAATACAAGAGAGAAAAATATTGCAAAAGCCAAACTGAACTATACTTAGTGGCCGCTTCAGTTTCAAAGGAGAAATATTCATCACAAAGTTTCTCTACCGTTTGCTGGACAGTTTGGAGGGCTTCCAAGTGATGACTAGAAACCAAACTGGAAACCAGGGGAATGCAAAGATCTCCGGATTACAATAGAGCAGAGGCAGAGACTATTTAGGCATACCCTGACCACCAAGTTGTAACTCTTAAATCCAGCCCAAGTGAAGTACTCTTTTATCCAGGACGAGTGAAGGAAGATTTCATCTCCTACAGCAGAGTGCAAGGTGCTCAGGTATGGGCCGAAGTCCCATGAATCCTTGTAAATTTTTGTCCCTTCTGGAGGCTCTATGATGCCCTGGCTTAAAAACACAAAGAGGAAGAGGGTCAGAGATGTAGGTAAGGAAGGCAAAACCAATGCTTTAAAGAAACCTCCACCAGAGGAGAAGTTTCAAGAACTTGCGGAACTGCCTCCCAGAACCCAGCCTAGCCTAAGCCACACCATTTCCCATTCACTACTTAAGGGGCAGGGTTCCCATGTCAGATTTCATCGACAAATCTTGTGTATGTCTGCAGATACAAAGCTGCAAGATTCCCCGATTTGGACTCTTTTGCTCCAGATGACTAAGTGACAGACATGTTGCTTGTGACCTGCTTGTATTGGCTTTGAGATGTGGCGGCAACAGCTGTCTCTGCATGCCCACCCAATAGGCATCTGGTGAAAGCAGCACAAGGAGTTGAAACATTTCCTGCTGGGTGTGGAGGCTCCTAAAACTCAGGAAGGTAAGAAAACCCAAAGGCTAAGCAAGACTCCTTTCCCAAGCGATACAAGCCAGTAACAGCTGCTGGGGAGAGGGCACACTCCTGTGAAACTGCCCACAGGTTGGTCTAGGAGCTCCAGGGTTGCAACTTTCATGAGTGGAACTGTAATAGGTTGGGATTTTCTCCAATGATGTACTGACACTTCTGTAAGTGACCCCCATGAACTCCTGGCTCACCAAGCTATACCTGGGTAGAACTGACTCTTTGTTCTGTTAATGGTGTCCTTCTGGGTTGAATAAATGTTTGTTCATATCTCCAGGAAAAGTCTGGCTATGTGGTACCCGGTAAATATTTGGGCATATAAACTTTAAATTGTGGGATTTTGTGCCTCTTATCTACTGTGCTCTGTCTGTTAACCAAACTCCAGTTTTCAGACAGATGTGTAATTTTTTTCTTTAAAAACCCAGTTAATAGTATAGACAGTCCTAAAGTTCTGTTTTTCCTGGGGCAATAGATTACTACATGGAACATGGACTCTTGGATCTTGAGAAAGAAATATAATTTGAACTGAACAAGGAAAAAAATCTAAGGAGGCAAATAAACCTGTGTCTATTAAATGTTTGGAGGCAACAGTTAGATGTCTGTCTTCTCAAAGCTTCACTTTGAGTCCATCATGTCCCTAAGGCTACGGACGCACCGAAAGTATATGACTTTTGAAAGACATCTCCAGTCTCGTTTAGCTCCTTGCCTGGTTTCAGTTTGAAGTCTCACTGATCTTTTCCTGAGAAGCCACAGCTTCCCCTCCCCCTGCTGCCTTGACTCCAGCGTTCTAGCTCTAGCTTCCCCGGTGGAGTATTCCCCTCTACACAGCAGGAGTGGGTTCCCGAAAGCACAGTTCAATAAGACCCTTCTCTGCTTTGTCGTTTTCTGTGGCTTTCCTTATTTGAAGGGCAGGTTCTCTGCCCTGGTCTAGGAAGCCATGCCGACCCTGGCCTCCACATGGCATTCTGCGTCCTCCTTTCCTTGGGCTTTCACTCATTAGCTCTCCACTCAGGGCTGGGAGGGCTCCACGAGGACCAAGGTTTCTTCCTGGCTGTGAACTCTACACTTCTGGCTCCCAATATCAGAATGTTTTAATGAATAATTTGTGAATCAATGGCATATGTGCATGCACTTTTCCTTTAGTCTGCAAACCCAGGAGTCTATGCTCTGTCCTTCTCCAGCTAGGCTGTTGTTTTTGACTAGAAAATTTCAGTCTCTCTTTCCCTCCCTTCCTTTCTCTTATCTTCTGTTTCACTTCCCTCCTTTTTCTTTCTTTTCAGTACTTGCAACCATCTCCTCATCCCTAAGTCGTGGCAAAATGCTGATTATTTGGGACTGAACTTCTGTGGCCACTTTCCTAGATCCCTGTCCCTTCTTCCTTTACAAGGCAGTTAAGTGTGGTGTCCTTACTATACGTCAGAGCAAAAATGCAACTGTCCTGACTCATTCCCCAGAATGCATTGGTGTGACCCTGCCTCAGATCTACTGCATCCTGAGTGTCCCTGAGGGGACCCCAGACCTACATTTACAAGGGTGCTGGTGACCATGATGTCAGTAAATGTGACAGCACAGACACTTGCTCTAGGACTCATTGAGAGGCCTGCACAAAGATGATTCTGGAGACCTCAGGAAGATGCTAAAAGAGGAAGGCAGGCTCTCCAAGGATGAGTAATAACTGAAATAATCAAGAAACATTTTCACTCTCCAGCTGGGTCCGTGTCCTTTTCCATGCAGCAGTACAGGGGAGCGCTCAGAGAATTTTAAGTTTCACAGTTTAGAAAGATTGGCTTGCCAGCAACAAAGAGAGGGCTTTCCATTATTTTGCTTGTAATTCCCATTTGCCTGTAATTCATATTTGCCTGTAATTTCGTGTGGGGGTGGGGAGGGAGAGCACGGTCTCATTCCGTAGCCCTGAAACAGACTAGCTGGCCTTGCAATCCTCCTGCTTCTTCATATGCTAGGATTACAGACCATTACTTGGAACTGTCTCTATCAGGTTGCAAAGTTATTCCTGAAATCAAGCCCTTACTACACACAAATGCTTAGTTTTTATTCCTACTGGTGAATTTTGGCTTTTAGTGAAAATATTGGTTACAACCAGTGACCTTGGTTTGATGGCCAGCGAGTGGATTGTGACCTGTGCATTGAAAAGTACCAGCATGGGGGAAGGATCGTGAAGGAGGGGCACAACCACAAACCAGGGAACTACAGGCAGGAGACAGCCCCTAAGTGAGTGATGGAGCTGAGAGCAGGGAAGGAGAGTCTGAGCTGCATGAGGTACTTGAAAGTCGGTGAAGGAGTGCTGACCAGGCTCTAGTCATATCTGAGAAGTCAGCAAAGGGCAGCACTAGCTTCCCTCTGCTCACTTCCTACAATATGTGTATTTCTTCATTTGGGCGGGAACTTTATGACTATGTGGCTCAGGGCATGTACTTGTGAAACTACAGGCCTCTGGAGTCCATGTTAATTCTCTGGAATTGGATTTCCCTGTCTGATATTTTGAGATGTGATGCTAATTTTATAGGTCATACTTGTACTGGCATGAAAACTAACTTTTCTGAGTCACTCTACATGTGTGCTGGCAGTTGAACTATGGACCTCTGTGCTAGCAGCTTGTGCTCTTAACAGATGAGCCATCGCTCCAGCCTCTTACCCTTTACTCTCTGATATGAAAGACCCTGAGGTGACGAAAATGCTTGAGCCAGGATGAAATGCTTCAGGAGGTAGTCTGATTTGAATACTTGCCTATCTATTTTGTTTGAATAGTGAGTCTCATATTTATTTTTCTTGAGTCAGGGTCTCAAATAGTGCAGTCTGGTCTGATCCTCCTGCCTCAGCCTCCAAAGTGCTGGGATTGCAGGTATGTGGCTCCCTACTTGGCTCTAGGATTTCTACTTTTAAAAGTGAGATGGAGATCTTAAGGTAAGCTCAGCATGTTAGTCGTCAAAAGTTAACATCACCGAAGAATAGGGACCTGCTGAGAGCTAGGAGCTTTTTGTCATAATATTATAAACATTATATAAGGTATTTTTATCCCCAGACCTGTCTGTTGGGTCCTTCAGCATCCTGCCCAGGTCAAGAGTAGCTCCAGGTCGTGGGGTCCATGTCACCACATCACAGTTTTTCTTGATGAGATTGTTGAGTTGAATCGGGTCATTTTTGATGTTTGTTTCCTTAATATACCTAAGAAATAAAAGCATTCCCAGATAAGAGAGTTGATTCTCCAGGAGTGTGGTAGTGACAGTGAACATTTTGGTTAACTCTTTATTCCTATTTTCCAATCCCCTTCCACGTACAACTAGGAAAATAAAGGTCATATATGGGTTAATGTCCCTAATCAGTCAAGGAAGTTATTCATATCTTTTTTTAAAACTACAATTGGTGGTGATTGGAATTAAGCTAGTGGAACTATGAGTGACTATTATAAGTAGGCAGTAATTGCACACTCATCCTGAATATCAACTGAAATGAAGACTGATTGACTATTACTTGGCAGGCATTATACTAAGTGCTTGATACTAAGTAGTCCCCTTTATCTTGCAGTGCCTCATGAGATTGCTGCTATCACCATTTTCATTTCCTAGAGAAGGAATCGAAGGCTACATATCACATGGTTTGCACAGGCACAGACTGCAGACAGGCTCCAGGGCCTCTCTCTAGCTTTCAGAATAAAATCTGGAAAGTCTCTGCATTCAAAACCATTAAACAGTACCTGTTATTCTCAGGGCTGGCTGGCCAGTCCAGCAATGACAGATCCTGTCTCAAAAACACAGGTGGATAGTAACTGAAGAATGACACACACACAGTTGACCTCTCACATTCACCATCACACACATGTGTGGACACACAGAAAGAAGGAGGGGTGGGAGAAAGGGGGAGGCAAAAAACTGTTTGAAAAATCTGTTCCTTCCAAAAGAGCACATATCCTTAGTCATAATCCTTCCTGAGGCCTGCTGCTTCTGTCTTTTCTTTCCTCAAGCATGAAAGGTAAGAGCTCTACCACTGTGCTACATCCTTAGCTCAATATGTAGAATATAATTCTGCTATTAATCAAAGCTGGGCATCACCCAAATCAAACTCCTTGCTACCACCTTTCTCAAAAAACTGTAACTTGTCAATATCCGCACCATGCTGACATTGGTGTTAAGATAGAAAATGGGATAGCCAGAGAAAAACAATTTGCCATTGTGATTCACTTGACAGTTATTTACACAGACATTACTGCTAAAGAGAATTTGGCAACCTTGAACTTCAGGTTGGTACTCTAGACCTGATATTTAGTCAGGTAGTTAAATAGAACACGAACAAATATCTGTGTTTCTTTCCTGAAAACACCGTCAGTGCCCTTAAAGGCCTTACCAACATCTCCCTGATGCTTCGGTTCCTGTGGGGGTATGCGTGTGTGTGCACCTGTGAGTGTGTGCATGTGTGCACCTGTGAGGATGTGTGCACCTGTGAGTGTATGCATGTGTGCACCTGTGAGTGTGTATGCACCTGTGAGTGTATGCATGCATGTACCTGTGTGGATGTGGAGGCCAGAGGTTGAAATTTGTGTCTTCTTCAACCACTCAACCTATTTTTTGAGAAAGGGTCTTTCACTGATCTGGAGCTCACTGACTGGCTAGGCTGGCTGGCCAGCAAGCCATCTGTATCTGAATCCCTAATACAGGAATTAAAGGTGTACATGGTCAAGCCCAGACTGTCTACACAGCTGCTAGATACTGACTTAGATCCTGGTGCTTGTGTGGCAAGCACATGACTCCCAAGTCACCTCTCCAGATCTTCAGTTCCTAACTTAAAGCAGTATCATCACTGTCTCTCTTCTAAGAGTGGCTCTCCCTGCAGAGAGGCTCTGCCTCCTGAGCCAGGGTACTGTCTATCGCTCCCCCCAAAGCACAGTGTTCACAAACTTCCATAACTTTAAGATACATCTTTGTCTCTTTATCTACAATAATAATGAAATCAGCATCTCTCAAGTGTCATGGGCACTGAGGACATTTTCTGACGGCTTACATATAGAATTGTGGCTTTTGATTACTTTTACGGACAGCATTGTGGTGAGAGGTCGAGTACTCCCCAAGTAAACACACACCTTCTCAGAGTCTTCTCTGAGACTCTGTGTTTTCAGCTACTTAAAGAGAATTCGTCTGAATTCTCTTCTCACTGCCATTCACCATTCCTTCCTGGGTAACTGTGATAGTTTCAAATTGGTCTCCAAACCAATATTATTTTTTGCTTTTCCCACGACATAGACACATAACCTGCCATCTAATGACGTCCCTCTTCCTTATTAGACTCTATCACTGGGTTCCCCAAATCTTCATAAAAGACCCCAAACTGTGGATTATGACAGACACTTGTGGTTCCAGTCTGGGCCCCCACCTCATCCCTGCTTTCGTCATATGTCCCCTGCTCCAGCCATTGGGCTGAGCTGCAGACTCCCTAAAATCCTTCTTCCACAGGGTCTCCCAGTATAGTTCAGGAGGGCCTGGAAGTTTGCATGTAGACCTGGCCTTGAATTCTCAGCAATTTTCCTGCCTCTGCCTCCTGAGTGCTGGAGTTACAGATGTGTGCTACCAGGTCCCATCATAAACTACAGTCCCTCAGCTCAGCACCTTTTCTGGCCAGGCCCCACTCAATCTTTAAATGTAGCTTCACTAGGCCAGAAGTCACCCTTTTATCACCTGCCCTGATCTTCAGTCCATGGCATTTGCTACCCTGTATTATAATTATTTTTTCTTCCGAACTCTATTCGTCGTTGTCGTCATCCCCCCATCACTGTGCTGCTTCATAAATAATACATTACAAAAAAGCAGAACCAACACTGACCACAAGAAAGCTATTTTTTTAACCTTGGGTCATTCTTACTAAAAATGTTTTAAAGAGTTAAAAAAGCGGCTCCGCTGGCCTAACCCCTACCAAGGTGAGTGTACCCTCTGCTCTTGCCCAACTCCTGTACAAAGTCCCATTCACCCCGAAACTCTCAGGGCCTGCGCCTGCTTAGAGAGGACCTGCCCAGCCACAGAGGAGCTCCCTGAGTCTGGAAACACGTCACTCTTCCTTTCTCCTCCACTGGCCTGACCCCTACTGAGTGAGGAGACTACCAGGAGAGTAAAGACCATCCAGAGCTGGTCGTGGCCCCCACACAACCACCGGGTCACCAGAGGAGATAGAGAGACCCCACCTGCACCCACGGGAAGGAGAGATGGGAAGAACACAGAATAAGAGCACACTCAACATCAGAAAGACCAATATGACACCATCAGAATCTAGGGACTCCACACTAGCAAGATCTAAAAAGCCCAACACAGAGGATAGGCCGGGCGTTGGTGGTGCACACCTTTAATCCCAGCACTCGGGAGGCAGAGGCAGAGGCAGGCAGATCTCTGTGAGTTCAAGGCAAGGCCAGGCTGGGCTCCAGAGTGAGTGCCAGGATAGGCTCCAAAGCTACACAGAGAAACCCTGTCTCGAAAAACCAAAACAAACAAACAAACAAACAACAACAACAAAAAAAAACAGAGGATGAAGAAGAGATGGACCTTAAAAATTACTTTAGGAAGATGATAGATACCTTTAAAGAGGAAACAAGAAAATCCCTTAAAGAAATAGAAGAAAAAACAAGCAAAAAATTACATGAAATGGAGGAAAAGACAAACCAAAAAATTCAAGAAATAAACAAATCTCTTAAAGAATCTAAAGAGCCAGTCCCGCCTCCATCTACTGGCCCAGGTGGGCTGGAGCTGTTTCCAGTTTCAGTTCAGCAACTCTGCTCAGAGGCATCTGACGCCAAGGGTTTGCTCGATGGATCCGAGATTGACAGCAGGATCTGACACACCCAGACACTGCCGAGGCCCCGATGGAAGTTCCGCCTCCATCCACAGGCCCAGGTAGGCCAGGGACTGTCTCCTGTTCCAATTCAGCGGGATCAAACATACCCAGACACTGCCAAGGCCCCAGTGGCAGTTCTGCCTCCACTCACAACAAGAGGACAGACATCAGAGTATGGAATTGTTTGCATCTACCAGAAAGGAACCTTGGTCCCATACCCACCAGGAGAGGAAGAGACTCCTGCTACACCCAACAGAAGAAAAGATGAGAAGAGGTCAAGGAAAAAGCACATTCAACAACAGAAAACCCAATATGACTCCATATGAGACTAGAAACCATACACCAGCAAGACCTGAACATCACAATGCAGATGAAGCAGAAGAGAATGACCCTAAAAACATCTTCATGAAAATGATAGAGGACCTCAAAGAGGACATGAGAAAATCCCTTAAAGAAATGGAAGAAAAAACAAACCAAAAAAATACAAGATATCAAAAAATCTCTCAAGGAAACAGTTCAAGACCTAAAAACTGAAATAGAGACAATAAAGAAAGCACAATCTGAGGGAATGCTGGAAATAGAAAAGCTGGGTAAACGATCAGGAACAACAGACGTAAGCATAACCAACAGAATACAAGAGATGGAAGAGAGAATCTCAGGAGTTGAAGACACACTAGCGGAAATAGAATCATCAACCAAGCTACACAAAGATACAACTAAGAAAGAGAACTACAGACCAATATCCCTCATGAACATTGATGCAAAAATTCTCAATAAAATATTGGCAAATTGAATCCAAGAACACATCAGAGAAATCATCCACCATGATCAAGTAGGCTTCATCCCAGGGATGCAAGCATGTTTCAAAGTATGAAAATCCATCAATATAATCCACCATATAAACAGACTGAGGGAAAAAAACCACATGATCATCTCACTAGATGCTGAAAAAGCCTTTGACAAAATCCAACACCCCTTCATCATAAAGGTCTTGGAAAAATCAGGGATAACAGGAACATATCTTAACATAATATAAGCAATATACAGCAAACTGAGAGCCAACATCAAATTAAATGGAGAGAAACTCAATGTATTTCCTCTAAAATCGGAGACAAGACAAGGCTGTCCACTCTCTCCATACCTCTTTAATATTGTCCTTGAAGTTCTAGCTAGAGAAAGAAGACAACAAAAGGAGATCAAGGGAATACAAATCAGAAAGGAAGAAGTCAAACTCTCACTATTTGCAGGTGATATGATATGATAGTCTACATAAGTGACCTGAAAAACTCTACCAGGGAACTCCTGCAGCTGTTAAACACCTTCAGCAAAGTGGCAGGATACAAGATTAACTAAAA